GAAACATTCCATTCATTCCATGTGGCCAGAGTTTGGAATGAATAATTGTTGGATTAAACTGGCACTGTTTCTCATCTGCTGCTGCCAAGGAATAGGCACTTAAAAGTAAGAAGCCATAAAAGAGATGTGTGTGGTGGATATGCAAGAATAACTAAGCCCATAATCCCACTAGGAGATCACTAGGCAATTTGGTCACCATAAAAGCATAACTTTGATTCCAGCAACTGTTGCGTTATATATCCAACGATTCAGAAAAACCTTAGGAGACATCCAAATGAGGCAAACCCTTTTTGGAAGAAACCACATTAATACCTGAACATTCCCCAAACCTTGTTACTTTGGACTAACAAACCTTTGCCTAATACAAACTGTGCTTTTTTAAAGAATGGATGCATCTGTCCTTAAACTTTTCAACTAAGAAAAAAAAATTATTTGGAAGAAAAGAAGTAGACTTTTGATTTTTCAGCTTATTGTGAAACTTTTGTCTGCAAATTTCATTAAGTCTAAACCAAATGAAAATGTTTGCATTCATCTTAATTTATTTGCAAAGGAATACTAATAGCATTCATTTTATAAAAACTAACCAGTAGTTCTTCTATCTTATTTATTATTTTAGTCCTTAGGATTTTCAGATTAAGTATCATCTTGTTTGTAACTGACTTGCTCGCTGAGGGTTTTTTTTTTTTTTAGAAAAAGAGTTAAACCTTTAACAACCATTAAATATGATTAAATTAAATATTAAATATGATTGAATTCAGTTGGACTTGCCTGTGATTACAATTACCTAATTGGTAGTCCAAAAGATCTGCAAGAAACCTTGTTAAACATTTTGGGGTTTTTTAAAAAAAAATATATATATATGCAGATATAAAAGAGGATAAGCTTGAAAAACTCTTCACAATTACTTGCAGGCTCAAAAGTCAAAAGTCTGCTTCCGTTCTTCCGATTAATTTTCTCTTAGTTGAAAATTTTAATTTTTTTTTTTTAAAAAAGGATAATCATAAGTGTTTAATTTTTTTAAGAGTTAATCCACATTGCTAATGCTTGCAAGGAGAGGCATTTTCTCAACCTTGGAGATATATTGAACTTCAGCATGCATAAATCTGTGTAGGAGAGCTAGTGGCTGGGGATTATATGGATGAAATTCTAAAACATTGCATATCTTTTCAATAGCTGAAAGTGAAAGATACATACACCCAGGAAAATTCTAAGTCTGGGAAATGAAGTTATTTGAAGATTCCTTTGAAGTTCTTTAACTGTGGTCTAGTGCAGTATCCTAATTCTTTAGTAAGGTTACTAGATTTGCAAGAGTTGTTAAAAACAACAATAAATCAAACTACAGCCTCAAATATCTAGAATATCAGAGATTTTTATCCTTGTATATCCATGGAAATATGCTAAAATATTTACCGAATGTACCATTACCAGTTGTTTATAATAATAGATGTTCAGATGGTTCTCACGCATGCTCTATGGTTTATATACCAAAGAAAGTTTGTTGATATCATCTCTTATATTATTGAACCAGTTGAATTACTCATTTCTGGACAGAAATGGCAAACACTTACTTTCCCCAGAAATAAACCCTGGATTACCATAGGAAATTATTACATGTAATTATAAACTTATTATAGCATTCATTTATTCTGTATAATTAATTGCCTCATGCTGTCCAATTTTTCTAGAACTAACTTATCCTTACATTTGAATACTTAACAAAAAGAGGTCAAAGGAACAGATTTTAAAATGGGGGGGAGGAGTGGGAGAGAGAATATAGTAAAACACGTGCCTCTCTAACATACCAGACCATTTTTATACTTTATTTTTTAAAATGTATGTGTGGGAGCATTAGATAATCTGAGATGAAATACAGTTGGTGAAGAATTCTTTACTCATCTTAAAGCCACATTAAAATTCATTCAGCTTTTCCTTAGAAAACTCCAGTTTAAACAAAACACCCTCAGCTCTTTGTTCTATCCTCTGAAACCTTAGCAGGAAAAAATTTTCTGACCTCTTAATTGGAATCTGTTTCCTGAATTTAATCCCATTGATCTTCTGTTTTACCATCAGTGAAAAAGAAAATTGGAGGAAGAGAGAGAATGAAGAAGAGATGTGAAAAGATAAACAACATGTAGAATTAAACAGCAGCAAGATAGGTTGCAGACAGGTGTGTGATTATGTGTAATTTATTACTAAATGTTGCCTTTTCCAATAGCTTTCAGCATCTACTCTTCCTGCATTAGAGTATGAGCAAATCCAGCCTAAGAAATAACAAGTATATTACAACTAAGAGTTCTAAAAAACTTAGTTTGGAATTTTGGCCATAACCAAATTATGACCATCAGGCTAAACAGAAAAGCATATTAAAATTGTCAGAGGGATAAAAAAAAATCCAATAAGTTTTTCTGCTTCTGCTTTTTAAGACACATTGCTACTGTACAGTCCAAGAAATCTGTCAGCAACCTGGCTGAGTTAATAGTTATTATGGCAGGCTGACCTAATCTTGAAGTTTTTTCTCTGTTAGTCAAGGAGATGATAGAATTAGATGAGAATGGAAATGACAAGTTATTTATTAAGAAATATTGGAATTTTTTTTCTTTAAAAAAGAAAGAAGAAAATTAGAACGGCATAACAGGAAAAAAAGTAAGGAAATGTTTATTTTATATCAGAAGTTTCATTTAAATCATCTAAATTAGCTATAATGTCTGGAATTGTTAAATTTATGACCAGAAAATCTTCTGGAATATAGTGATTGATAATAATCTGACTTAAATAGAAATATTTCAGAATACCTTCTTTCATTTTTCTCTATTTTCTCAGAAAATAAATTCATGAAGATATTAAAACATAAATATTTATTTTTTTCTTTTTTTAGAAATGTATTCAGATTTATGGGGAAATGACACCAAACAGAATTATGAATAAAACCACATGAAGCTGGCCCAGACTCAAAACAGACAGACTGGCCCAACACTCTACCTGTATGTCAACCATACTGAGATCTATGTAGCCCAAAGGGCAATTTAGTTATAAGTATACACATTCTCCAATTTATTCCAAATTGTCAAGCCTTTTTAAGGCAATTAAGACCAATTTTTGATTTAATAAGAAAAGTAAATTAATTTCACACAACGTTCCTCAAGGCAGGAAAATACTAGAAAGAGAAACATTGTCTCATCTAATCATTCCCAACACAATTGTCTGGTCTCATTTTGTGGGAATAAAAGCTCTTTGTTTCTTTCTGTAATACATGTGAAATGATCATCAGTGGCTCTCATCCATCAGTTTTGGGTAATAAATTATATTGGAAATATTTTAAAACTTTAATTTATAGCTTTTAATGCTGCATGGAAATGGATGGTGATGGTGATGACTATAAAGTATTGAAAGGTGAAATCACAAAAATAAGGAATGTCAACGTAATAAATCCTTTATTTCAGTTATTTACAATACTGTATACCTCAGTGTATGTCCCAAGTAAAAGCAAAAACAAAAAACAATGAATCCTACAACAGCCTAAGCTCTCTTAAGTCTTTCAGAGCAGATGGTCACTAATTTCCTTTAATCTAATGACAGCCCTTGCTCAGAAATGGCTGAAGAACCTGGCAATCATCTTCCCTCTGAAGTTAGTTGCTGCCCTGGATAATAATTTCATCCTAACTTTCCAGGCTGTCTTGATCTCCACTGGTTAATGGTTGCTAGTTGTTTGTTGTTTCAAGAATCTTGTGACTGATCCAAGAATGGCCCATTAAGCCAATGAACAAACTTAACTTCTACGGGGGGGGGCACCCTTTTCTCTTTCCTTACCCATAGCACAAAGCTTCCTTTCTCTTTGTTTAATTTCTTTTTAAAAAAATCTCTAAAACATTATTTTTTTCTCTATGAAGTGCAACTACATTAATGTCAAAAGAGATAATGTATGAAGGGAAGGCATCCATGGTTGTTCTTTCATTATGTTTTTATTCTGTTTTTAATTGTTTATCTGCCCAGAGTCATGCATATGAGATGAGAGGACCTGTAAATTAAATAAATAAACATGAAAAATATGATTCTCCCTTATGTATTTCAATACTTTGTCACACTGCAGTAATTTCTCTTTTATTTTTTGTGCAAATGATAGCCCAACTTAGTATGTTCTTCTGAAGAAAAAAGGCCTATGCTACATTTATCCTACACATTTTTTTTTCCTGAACAAATCATCTTTCTTCTATCCAGACTGAATATCTCTTAGATTCCATGTGGTCTAGACAATTCTGAAAATTTGGCAACATCCTGAAGTGGTTAGAAAGGTCAATCTCCCTTTGATCAAAAGCAGGACTGGACATGATTAGTACTTGGATGAGGCACCTCCATAAATCCCAGAGCTTTAGGTGAGGTTGAGTATTCGGTAAACGTCTCAGAAGAAAACAGTGGCAAACCACTTCTATGTTGTTTGTATGGCTGCCAAATAAAATCAACTGATGTGTCTATGAAGTCATTTGGATTTGAGCTCAGCTCAAAGGAAACTTTTATCGTTTTTGAGGTTCTTACTTTCCAAATATAGCAGCAATTGATAGAAAGGCTTGGACCAGGATCTATCCTTTCCCTGTTAAAAAAAAATATGTCACTATTCTGAACTTTAGTAGTAAGAAGGTTGGTAGAAGAAAAATTAGTAGTAGCAATAAGAAGGTTGGTAGAAGAAAAATTAAACAATGTTTGCTTTTAATATCGCCTTCTTAAAATAAACATATTTTTTTTAAAAAAATAGACTGAGTTTCACTAAACTTTCCAGACCCTGTCTTCTTCACTCAAAGTTTGCTATGTTTAGATTCATTGCAAATTAAAAGCTGTATTATTATTTCTTACTTTCTTATTATTTACAGAAGGCTGCATCTGATTTTCACATTACAGAAATATATATTAGAAAGAACTTTTTCAAGTGCACACACATCTATACTCTACACAATTTGTGTTTACAATAATGTAGTCAATTGAAAAGATATTTGTTCTTTGCTCACTCACCGGTTCTTTGCTCAAAAATGAGCAACAAGATGCACAGACAGACGAACAAAGGATTGTTCATATATCTTAATTTCTAAAGGTAGTAGATCTTTGGGTTTGTGATCATCCAAATGTGGCCTATAGCTCATTCAGTACCTTTCAAGAAAAGAAAGCTTGTGTATATTTTTAAAAGACAAGGTGTTTGTTTGTTACAAAGCATATCTGATTAACCGTATCAGTTAATAAAAATAATTTTCTGATATAGTAATTTTTTTGCCATATCTTTGCCTAATCCTTGGCTGGAAGGATTAGGGGGAATATGTTTCCTGCCTATTTTACTCAGCCCACTGTATCAACCATTAGGTGAAATTTCTGAATTCCATTAAGCAGCAATCCAATGTACTTGTCATGGTTCCGACAGATGAAACTCTTCAAAGAACTTCGAGGCATTGTTTACCTTAAAAAGTCTTTAGTTTGAGTACCATAACATCAGCATTGTATAATCGAAGCCAAAAACTGAATTCCCCTCCCCTGAGCACATAGTATCAAAGCACAATTCCCTCCTCCGATTAACAATCATAAATCACATTCCCCAATTAGCTTGAAGCGCCGGCTTCCTCTCTGTTCTCCAGCCCACCAATTCCTTATCGGCTCTGGTTACAACAACCTTGCTTCTCACGCTGGGTCCAGTATTGTTATGTCTAGCTCAGTGTTTCTCAACCTTGACAATTTTAAGGCATGTGGACTTCAACTCCCAGAATTCTGGGAGTTGAAGTCCACATGCCTTAAAATTGTCAAGGTTGAGAAACACTGGTCTAGTTTAAGTCCATATGCCTTAAAATTGCCAAGCTTGAGAAACACTGGTTGAAGTCCACATGCCTTAAAATTGTCAAGGTTGAGAAACACTGGTCCAGAACACTGGTCTCGTTCACATTCCCCCTCCCAGCATCATCTAACTCTAAAAGCAAAAGGTAAAAGATGGCTCCATTTCCATATGTTGTCAATGCAAAAACATCTGATGTTAGCAGCGTTGACAGTACTTTTCTGCCATGGATAAATGAACTTGCTACACACAGAATTCCCCAGCCAGCCATGGGAGTTGAAGCCCACACATCTTAAAGTTGCCAAGGCTGAGAAACACTGTCCTACTGGAACAGTCCAAGGGTATGGCTATCTTCCTCAGCATTCAGTTAAATTTTTCCTTCTTCATCCTAGGATGCCCCAGCACTAATAAACAGGAATAAAATACACCAAAGCTTTTGGAGAACATTTTGTTCTTGTCGCCAATAGCCATAGTCCCTTCAGTGAGTCAGAAATTTAAGACCATCAGTCACAACAATTATAAAATAAATTTACAATTAAGTAAACTGCAGCATCATATTTTATTATCCGTTTCCAAAATAGTTGCCTTTTAATCTTTGGCCTTAAGAACAACAAGCACTGTGGTACGTGAAAAGATATAACCTATTTATTATCTTCAATCTGCGTGCCTTCACTCCTTTTAGGTTCAAGTGAATACATGAGTATTTCACTTGAACACAGATTATCCTACCCACTAATCAAGACATTTCAGACTGGTTTCTGGGCAGTGGTGGGATTCAAATATGTGAACAACCAGTTCTCTTGTGGATGCCATTTCCAGAAGTCTGTTCTGGGCTTGGTCAACAAAAAAATTAGCTACCAGTTCTTCAGAAGTGGTGCAAACTGGCTGAATCCCACCACTGTTTCTGGATCTCCCTACTGCTAGTCATATCTTCCCTGTGAAGGGTGTAGAGCCTTCTTTATATGAATAGGAACCCTAGAGCAACCTTGGCTCTTTTATGGGGTAGGCAACCTTGGCTCTTTTATGACTCGTGGACTTCAACTTTCAGGAATTCTGGGAGTTGAAGTCCACAAGTCATAAAAGAGCCAAGGTTGCCTACCCCTGCCCTAGAGCAATCAACATTCCTGACTGTTAGAAAGTTTTATGTGTATAGAATTATTTCTCACAAGTAGTCCATATCAGGGAGTCAGTTTATTATTTTTATATGAAGCTATTCAACCTGTTAACTTCAAATAAAGTTAGACTGCATTAAAACAATTACAATATAGAATAAGGCATACTAAAAACCATCTATTGAAAGAATATTAAAAACTGATAATTCAGTATGGGCAGACAGCTTTGAAAGCTGGAGACCCACAGTCATAATTTTAAGCAATCACACCTTTAACAATGCAGCCCATATGAGATCTGGCAAGCAGGGATATCAGGGTCAGATGGCATGGCCAACGGCAGTCCCTAAAACTTTCATTAAATTTGGGGAAACCCAGCTTGTATATGGTTGTGTAAGACTTCAAAGGAAGAAGCATCAACATGGAGCACATGCCTCTTGCCCAATTTCAGGGAAGTGCATGACTCAAAAACGGTCTCCTCCATACCCAGATCATCCAAATGACAAAAATGTTAAAAGAGCTTTTCCTCTTCTTTTCTGTAGGGTATAATTTTGCCGCCTCCATATAAAATAATTAGGCTGAAAAGATATGAAGCAACATGTAATGCAGGCAATGAGGCACCTATCTTGGAACAGATAATTAAAAATTAAGGATTGTTCACAGGTGATGTGATGTTCAAAGAGGGCTGATTTGATGCCTGATAGAACCAGACTTACGTAGAACAGAAGTCTTCACTCCAGGAGTCTTTTGCCTGTGAAATAATGATGATGATGATGATGATGATGATGATGATGATGATGATGATGATGATGATGGAAGGGACCTTGGAGATCTTCTAGTCCAACCCCCCTGCTCAAGCAGGAACCCCTATACCATTTCAGACAAATAGCTGTCTAGTCTCTTCTTAAAAACTCCCAGTGTTGGAGCATTCACAGCTTCTGGAGGCAGGTTGTTCCATGGATTAATTATTCCAACTGTCAGGAAAGTTCTAGGTGGCTTCTCTCCTTGATTAGTTTCCATCCATTGCTTCTTGTCCTGCCTTCAGGTGCTTTGGAGAATAGCTTGACTCCCTCTTCTTTGTGGCAGCCCCTGAGGTATTGGAGCACTGCTATCATGTCCCCCCCCCCATCCTTCTCTTCATTAAACTAGACATACCCAATTCCAGCAACTGTTCCTTACATGTTTTAGCCTCCAGTCCCCCAATCATCTTTGTTGCATCTTTATGTTAAGGATCATATAAGTAGCTGCTAAAGGCAAGTCCAATCTTACCAAGCAAAACAAAGATCTGCATTTCATCTGCATGTATTTTATTGCTCTTTTTCATCTGAATAAAATAAAAAAAGTTCAATATACCATTCTTTTGATATTTTCATCATATTAGTCAGCCCAGACTTTATGCACGTTATTTATAATGAAATCTCATTGATTTTCAGAGCTCCTTCTTCTATGGTGCAGCCAGATCCACAATGCAATAAAAGGTGCGATCCTCTGATAATTTTGTAGAGAATGTGCCACTACAATTGCTGTTGATTTAACATAAATTGTGCATCTGCACCTATTCCCTCAGTGGCATTTACTTCTAAATAGACACACAAAAAGATTATGCTGATAAATTAAATTAAATTAATACCATGTCACCACACTAATCTGTGGATTTTTTTTACCATACTTTGATATCATATGTTTTTTATACAGCATGGGAGCCAATGCTTTGAGCTACAGTAAGTTCCCAGGAATTCTAGAAGCAAATCCAGTTTAGAATAATAACATCTTCTAAGTACTGTAAAAAGATATTGCAAAAGATTAGACTTGATTCATCAAAAAGAAAGTTACAGCAACCATCCTCAGTTTAGCATACGCCAAACATTAACTTCCTATCTGAGAATTATGAAAGCTGATGTTCAGCACAGCTGGAGGTCACCAATTTGGGGAAGATTGAGTTAGACTGATTTGCAAAATCCTTCCAATTATTACTCCCTTCCTGTTGGCTATCTATGGTATATGAATGAGCAAACATTAAAAATCAGATTTAAGTATGGAAATAATCTCTGTATTTCTAGGTGACACATTTGATTTCATTACATTCTATTCTCGTATTCAGTTATAAACTAGCAACATGTAATTCATATCTTAATGGCCATTTCCCAGTAATAATATTAAAAGTATGTCATGCTTTTTCCCATATGTGATTTGTTGCAGTATCTTGCCTGTTATTATTGTTAAAGAAGATGGATTAAGAAAACATGTACTATAAAGCCCTTCACTGAAAGACAGAATGGGATATTTTTGAGAGATCAGCAGGCAAACAAGCTTGGACGCCAGATGTACATGTCTTCCAGATGCTCCTGTTCCAGGAACTTTCCTATAATGCTTTTCAGACATACTCACACCCCCATATATCTACTTGCAGGAGATGCTTTGTTAAAATACAGCATGCTAAGTGGGCCTTTTCTGAGGTTCATCTTCCTTCCAATGGGAAACAGACAGTTATATGTGTGTGAAGTATGACTGAAGTTTGATTGCTCTGGAGATACCCAGATACAAATCCATATTCATCCATGTTGCACTTTGGGTAGCTTATGGCCAATTATTGTCTCTCAACTCCATCTAGCTGACAGAGTTGATGCCATGAAGATAAAATGAGTGGAGATATGTGTATTGAATCAATTTGGACACTTATTGGAAAGAATAGAATAGAATAGAATAGAATAGAATAGAATAGAATAGAATAGAATAGCCATGCAATACAAACTCTGACCTTTCATTGACCAATGAACTCTGCTCTCTTTGAAATGTGTTGACTCAAGTAACATATCTTTTACAGTAGTTCCTCTTCTTAACAAGGCTTGCCTGACCTTCCTGAATTGACTGTTTAGATGCCAAGCATTTCCTTCCAATATTACTATGTTTTTGAAAAGGATGAAAAAGAACAGCCTTGATATATATATATATATCATCTCCAGAACAAAACGCTTAGCTGACGAACAACACCTAAAACCCGAACTACACACTCTCACCAATATACTAACATCCAATGGATTCCATAGAAATAAGATTACAAACCTAATCCAAAAAGAAACCCCCACTAAAATCCAAGACAAAGAACAAGAAAACGGCAAAGCCCTCCTCCCATACATAAAAGGCACCACAGACAGAATCAGTAAGATCCTCCATAAACACAACATCAAAACAGCATTCTGCACAAACAGAAAAATACCACCATC